AAGTTTGTGGTGATTTGTGATTTCCATTTGAGGCATCCACACTATTGGTGCTAGGCTCTAAAACTCCAAGCAATCAACTACAACTACAAGTTAAGTAATTCTACTAGCTTTATTTGATTCAAGTTCCCCATGTCATGCTAGATAGGATAAGAACCTTGGAAAAATAATTATTTGCATGTATCATAGTCAAACATAGATCCATGGTTTCTAGGGTTGCATGTACACCATAGGAGTGTTAGAATGCTCAAAACCCATCAAACCCCAGTGGAGATAAAATTACGTATGTCTTGTGATTCAAATTTAAGGCCTCCAACAATGAGGCCGAGTACGAAGAAAATCTAGCAGGCCTCCGACTAGCCCGAGAAGTCGGAGCAAAACACCTTTGCACCCCTCAGTGATTCCCTCCTCATCACCAATCATATTAATGACATATACGAAGCCAATGGACAAAGAATGCAAAGGTACCTAGATGCAGTGCGACAGCTAGCACGCTCATTCAAAATCTTCTTAATCAAATAGATCCCTCAGGGAGAAAACGCGAGGGTCGATGCTCTTAGCAAACTGGCCTCGACATCTTTCGATCATCTAACCAAGAAAGTCTTAGTGGAGATTCTACCAGAGAGAAGCATTGGCAACAAGCAAGTTGACATTATCACAACAGCTCCCGATTGGACTAAGCCCTTCATAGACTACCTCCTACATGGGGTCCTCCCAGATGATCCCATAGATGCTAGGAGGGTCAAGATCAAGGCCCCGCAGTTTGATGTAGTACAAGAGCGGATACATGGCATCGTGGCTAAAGTGCATAACCCACCCCGAAGGGTAATCACTTTTAGAAGGGAGCCTCGCAGGGGAAGCCGAAGTGAATGAAGGTGAACATGCACTCACGTTAAGATACTCCGCCTAGGGGTATATTGTCTAGACATCTACAAGGATGCGGCCAACCTCACCAAAAAATGCCAGGAGTTCCAAGCTTTCGCTCCTTTCCAAAACCAACTCGTCGTGCCACTAACCAGCATCAGTAGTCCCTGGCCTTTTCACTAATATGGCATAGATATTGTTGGACCATTTCCAATCGACCTAGGCGGAGCTAAATTCTTGTTGGTCGCCGTCGACTACTTCACTAAATGGATCGAGACCGATCCCCTAACCACCATTACGGGAAAACAAATGATAAAATTCATGTGGAAGAACATCCTCACACATTGTGGTAGCCCGATGATTCTAATTAGCGATAGCAATACCTTCAAGAAATGGTGTGAAGAAAAGCAAATCCATCGTCGATTAACCTCAGTGGTACACCCCAGATCAACGGCCAAACGGAGGTATCGAACAAGACAATCGTTATTTTCCTTAAGAAATGCATGATGAAGTCTAAAAGAGCTTGGGTTGAAGAATTAACCACAGTACTCTGGTCGTATCACATGACCTCGAGATCCAGTACCGGGGAAACACCCTTTAGGCTAACATACGACACAGAAGCGGTGCTCCCACCTGAAATCTTGGACGGATCACTACGGGTAACAAACTTTTACATAAACACCAATGAAGTTGGAAAAAGTCAAGACTTAGACATGCTTGACAAGAAACGCGAAACCACACAGCTCCGCCAAGATGCCTACAAAACTTGCACTGAAAATTACTACAATCGGCGTGTACGATCAAAGAACTTCAAAGTAGGAGAATGGGTGTTAAGAAAAAATGAATCCACTCATGCCCAACCCATGGAAAGTTAAGTGTCACCTGGGAAGGCCCATACAAGATAGTGGAGATGCACCAGAATGGAGCTTATGTCTTAGAAGCACATGACGGGAGGCCCATCCCCCGGACTTGGAACACGCACAATTTGCGCCACTTTTACTCCTAGAGCAAGGAGATAATACAGAATAAGGCAAATCAAGGGCGAGGGCAATGTGATCTAACTCTAAGCGGATAATCACACCCCAACAATTATCTCTAGTTCTAGGCCCATTTCGTGTCTAAGTTTAGTCATTTTTGTCCTCATTAAACGGTGTTGATATTTCCAGAACATTATCAATAAAATGATGGAGGCTGACTACTTTCGAAAACAATTCAGATGTTTATTATTATTCGAGTTTGATATCGTTGATGAGAGGTTGTGCACATTTACCAAGTGATAACAACGATTGATCATCCACGTCACTTGACCGAAATCGATGCAAGGATGCAACCATAGGCTTAAAGGCTCATAACATTTCCCTAAACATGTCAAGCTATCTCAAAGGACCATTACCTTTGCCCATGACATGAACAAAGGTTTTAAAGGCTCATAACCTTTCCCTTGATATGAAAACTACCTAAGTCCTAAACGCCTCGAGGTGACGATCTCAACCTAAATTAGATGACTAGGGCCAAAGTACAACTCTCATCGGCCCAAGACTTAGAATAAAATCTTAAAGGGTAACTAGAAAACTTTGCCTAAAAGTGAACACCCTAATAAAAATGTAACACCCCAAAAATCAAAATAAATTTTAACTTTTCAAAAACAACCCATTAACCATAAATTGTCTACAATTAAAACCATTGTTTCAAAAGTATTAATCAAAATCAGAGTATCCCAAGATCCAATGTCATAAAAATGGGAAGATGTGCACGATCATGCCTTTGCTTTCCTACGATCCTCTAAAGTACCTGAAACAATAAACTGAAACCGTAAGCCAAAGCTTAGTGAGTTCCCCCAAAGTACCATCACACAACACAACAAACAATAGCATGAAAATATGAGCCTTCAACCTGACTGGACCACCTCGTAGCGCCTACAACGTATCTGGACCGCTCTACGGGCCTTCGGTATGACTAGACCGCCTCGCAGGGCCTATAGCCTATCCGGACCGCCCCGAGTATCTTGGCTTTCAGCACAAAGCAGGACCGCCTCAACCCAATCATAATATGTCGACATATGTAACATATAAACGTAAACACATATCTAACAAACACAGATAATCAGACAGATATGCTAATCAATCATCTAACTAGCATAAAACGATCCTATAAACCAGGATACATAACCTAGTGGCTGATATTGGTGCATTCGACCCACAAGTACAGTGAGGAAAACTCACCTCTCAGTCCAAACGATAGCTGAGTAAATCTCTGCTCCGAATACCGTCTCTATTCGTTACCTGTTTATCAAATAGTGGCCAATCTCAAATACAACTCAAAATACCCAAAATACCCTTTGGTCAAACCCTGGTCAAAGTCAAAATCAATCCATACTCAAAAGTCCCACAATCCACTAGTCATATCGTGACCCGTAATGGTCACATCGTGACCTAATAAGTCCAAAACAGTCCAAGAATGCCATCCTCACGTCGTGACACCCTTGTGCTCACGTTGTGGGGACGCTCTGAACAGAAGTTCTTAATGAAAGTCTTAATCTCTTTTTAGCCAAGCAACCAAATCCTCCCCAGTGTCTTATTTACTCCAAAACATCAAAAAAATCATGGCTTTTTGGACATGCATGTCTAATGCATGTCCCAAACACTAACTAGGGCACAAAAGAAGAAGATGACACCAAATCTCATGCAAGAGTCTTAAAACTCAATCATATTCTAGATCTAGCAACTATACTACTCATGGGACACTAGAGATCCATACAGTTGGCAACTTTATGGGTTTCAACCACTACATCATCTTGAATATGAAGGATTATGCATAGAAATATAGATCTAAGCTTTGGTACTCATAAATAAATGAACTTGAAACTCACAAAAGGTCCAAAAGGTGTGAGAATGCTTAATGGAGAGACTTGAATGCAGAAATGATGTACTAGATGCTCTTACTCTTCTTCTCCTTAGATATAGTCACCACAACGAGCTCTGGATCAAATATGGGTGCTTGGGTTTCAAAAGAGGAGTGCAAGGAAATGATAGAGACTGAGGGTGGGCTAACCCTAGCCCTCACTTCCTTTAAATACAGAGTAAAATCCCCAAAATTAGGGTTTCCTTTCAGGCTGGTCTCACGTCGTGAGCCATATATGCTCACCTCGTGAGCCCAAATATTATGTGCGACTTCTTTAATTTCCTCATGAGGTGAGTTCTTTAATTTCCTTAGATAGAATCACGACAACAAGCTCTAGATAAAATATGGATGCTAGGATTTCAAAAGGGGAGTGCAAGGAGGTGATGGAGGTTGAGGGTGGGCTAACCCTAGCCCTCACTTCCTTTAAATACGGAGTAATATCCCCAAAATTAGGGTTTCCTTTCAGGCTGGTCTCACATCGCGAGCCATATATGCTCACCTTGTGAGCCCAAAGATTATGTGCGAGTTCTTTAATCTCCTCACGATGTGACATGCATATCTTACTTTGTGAGTAGGGCAAAACCTTTGAATTTTTAATTTGACAATTGCTCACCTAAACTGAATGTTACAAAAAGTGAACCAGCCAAGGTCCATAAGAGAAAGCTAGCTAAGGCCTTAGCCTAAAAATACAGGCCAATGACTCGAAAGAAGGACGATCCTCGAGCTCACGAGCTAAAACTCTCGGGCCAAGACCAACAAAATTTGTTTAAGTATAAACAACTTTCACCTATCAAATGAGATTATCCTTCGAGTATTAATACCTTGCCAAGCATGTAGAAGCCATTCCCACTCAATTTTTAAGGCCAACACAAGCCTTTGGAAAGAAATCCCCCCAATGGGAAAAAAACATGAACAAATGTACCTCAAAGGCCAACATCAACCTCTGGGAAAAAATCAAACCTGTAACCTACATAAACCATCCGGTGCTAAATCAAGCAGGATTTAGGCGAAAGATTACCTTATACCATTACACACCATGTTAAAGCATATTGTCTACCGGACACATCTCGGACGTAAAAAAGACAACACAGGGTCACCAACCAAGTCAAACTTTGTCTAAATATTGTTTCTAAAACATGACTATAAAACGCTCAAACCAAGAGAAAAGGGAGAGATCAGTTACTAAGTGAATTGGAGGAGGGTCCAGTGTTCTGAGAGCTACTTTCCATTGGATTCTCCTAGGGGTCGGGATCGTAGCATAGTTGACGGAGGCCTGCCAAATCCAGCTCACCCAAATGGAGATATAAAGCAAAACTTGTCTCCATAAAGGACTTAACGGAGGCATGCATTGCTTGTGTCTGCTCCACTACTGCACTTGCCTCCTCTGGATTAAATTTTCCAACAGTCGCTTGCTCTCGCACTGCATGCTTGCCACCCTCCATACCAGCAGCCATACACGCTGCCTTCATCCGTCGAACCCCCAACGAGAACTTAGGGCTCTTGGTGACCCGATCCACCATGCTAACTACACCCTTCTGGAGAACCCAAGTTGTATCCTCCTCCAAAATCTTCCTCCTCGACCCCTCGGTCGCCAGCTGCTCACCCTACTGCTTCACTTGCCCCTCTAACGCTTCCCTCTCTGCCGCTAAAGTCTCTACATGCCGAGACATGCGCTCCACCTCTCTGTCCAAGCTTGTCACTTGATCCTCCACTGAAGCTTTCTCCGTGGCCAATAGGTTATAGCGTTCTTCAAATTTGTGTTTCTCATCCTCAAGTCCCAACACCTTCTCCCTCAATTCGTCGCACTCAGCTTTGATGGTGGTCAATTTCGCCAAGTCTGAGCCTACATGACGTAGGCGCCCAGCCGCAACCACCAAGTAGGGGGAAACCTAGGCCGCCTCACACTGAAGGTTGTTCGCCATATGGGAGTTAGAGAGGAGATCCAATGCTTCTATTGTAGCCGGAGGGAACGCATGACGAATCCACTCATACACAACATCATGATGCACGAGTAAGGACCCATGAGTAAGAGTCCATTCCGGGAGATAAAGGTCGGGAGCCACCAGTAGCTAAGCCAGTATCCATTATCTCTGATCGGGATAGCAGATTCACCTCAAGATTTTGGCAGTCACTGCAGAAAGCTCTTGGAACTAAGTTGGATATGAGCACAGCTTACCATCCACAGACCGACGGGCAGAGTGAGAGAACCATCCAAACACTAGAAGACATGCTGAGAGCATGTGTTATCGACTTTGGCAAGTCGTGGGACACCCATTTTCCCCTGGTCGAGTTTTCCTACAACAACAGCTATCACACTAGTATTAAGGCTGCTCCTTTCGAAGCCCTCTATGGCCGTAAGTGCAGATCCTCTCTGTGCTGGGCTGAGGTGGGTGACACTGCAGCTAGCTAGAGGTCAAGTCCCTGATAGCACTCTCACTGGCCCTGAAATCATTCGAGAAACCACTGAAAAGATCGTGCAAATCTGAGAACGACTAAAAGCCTCCAGAGATAGACAAAAGAGCTACGCCGACAAAAGACAAAAACCCTTGGAGTTCCAGGTTGGTGACCGTGTTCTGTTGAAGGTCTCACCCTGGAAGGGCATGATACGCTTCGGAAAGCGTGGAAATATGAATCCAAGATACATTGGGCCATTCGAGATCCTCGCTAGGATCGGCCCTGTAGCCTATAAACTCCGGTTACCCCAAGAGCTTAGCAACATTCATCTCGTCTTTCACGTGTCTAACCTTACAAAGTGTTTATCCGACGAAACCCTTGTGATCCCACTCGATGAGATCGAGATCAACGAAAATCTTAACTTCGTGGAAGAACCAGTCGAAATCATGGATAAAGAAGCCAAACGAACGAAGCAAAGTCGCATCCCGATAGTGAAGGTTCGCTGGAATGCCAAGCGGGGACCCAAATTCATTTGGGAGCGAGAAGACCAGATGCAACAGAAGTATCCGCATCTCTTTCTCTAGTCCATAATTGTATTTATTTTAGAATTTCAGGACGAAATTCCCTCTATCGGGGGGATGATGTGACAACCCGATACTTTCTAGTCAACAAAAGTCATTTTCTGTTAAATAAAGTTTCGAATTTTATTTGTTCCGTTTAGTTCTTATGGGTTAAAAAATAATCTAAATTATATAATTAGAGGTTATATAAGTTTTCGGAACCAAAAACACTCGAAAAATCAAGATTTCCCTCGAAAAATCAGCAAACTCGTTCAGCCATGCGTTTACGGCCGTAAACCCCTGGGCCGTAAACCCGTTTACAGCCGAGAAACCATTTCCGGCCGTAAACCCAACCGGTATAAAGGTTTTTCCCGGAGAGATTCTTCATTTCTCACCTTTTTCACCCAAAAACTCTCTCAAGTTGCTCCCAAGAACCTCCCAAGAACATTCATATCCTCAAGAACAAACCTTCAAATCTTCATGTTTTCACGAAGAACACCAAGAACAACCTTCATATCTTCAAAGGCCGCAAACCTAGTTCATGGCCGCAAACCTAGTTCACGGCCGCAAACAGCCTTGAACCGAGAACCTTGGCTGAAAACCCTCTTTTTCCACTTCAAACAAGACTCGGTAACATTCCTAACCCGAAAGCAAGTGTTTTCCAACACTTTAATTAATGGTTTCGCTAATTCAAATACAATTATGTGTTTAATTATCATTAGGATACCGTTAATTCCGCGTACTCCAACTCGAGGGTCATCTTTTCAGTCTGCTATCCAGCTGCAAGCACACACACTATCTGTGAGTTCATACCCCTACATTTTTCCAGTTTTTAACATTTTCAGGGGGGAATACAAGTACCACAAAATACATTTTTGGAACATTTCAGGAATTTATAAACGATTTCAAAACTACCATATACTGTTTTAAGTTATCCTAATTTAATATCACAATAATTAATCATTGTTTTCGCTAAGACGTATTTTATACAATCATAATTATATAAACCTTTGTAAAATGCAGAGCAAAGGAACACTTTCAGAACACTTATTTTACAAATGGAATATACACTTATAAACTATGATAGGTATAGTTTATGGAACAATTACATTATCAATGTACGAAACATAAATACAATGCGAATAAACATATAAACTATAATAGGTATAGTTTATGGATCTTACAAACAGTCATTTAAATTCAAAGGATTCATTTTATTCAACACTTAATCGTTAGTATAGCATTGCGAGTGAGCATCTTTGCATACTTATCTAAGTACTAACAAAAGTCCTGAGATTATAACCAGAGTCTCATGGAGGGAGAGCGTGAGTTTGTGTATAGATCTATACGGGACTGACAATCCCGCACCGCAACTGTTAGCTACAGTTAGGCCGGCAGGCTTGGGTGGCAAAGTCATTTCGATTCCGACGCCTGAAGAACGTCGTTCAGGCAATTCAATGGTCAAGTATGGTTATAACAGCTCATAAATTTGGTACTAAATAATACGATTAATGTATGAATGGAAAACAACTTCAGTTAGTTTTATTTTAAATTAATAGAACTACTATACACTACACTGGAGGATTCCAGGATCTTCATACAGAACACATTATACATTACTGGTGATAGCCAGTGTTTTCATGCAAATGTTTTCGTACAGAACACACTATACAATACAACTGGTGGTAACCAGGCATACATACTAACATTTTCATATACCACTACAAGATTCAGTAACGAACGTACATTTTGGTCTTAGGGTTTAAGACTACTTCTCATTACTAAGGAAAATATTGGATTTTCTTGAAAACATGCAAACATTTTATAGATTCACAGACAAGTTTTCATTACAAAAACATACTTATGAACTTACCAACTTAAATGCTGATACTCTTTCAAAATCGCTTGTATTCTCAGGGAACCAGTAGACAGGTACACCCGCAGACTTTTGAGAAGATGGAGCATATAGAGTCGCGTCTTTTATACTTTTGTTACACTTTTACTATTATAAAAACTATGTATCGAACGGATGTAAATACCTTATATATATTCAATGTAATGGTTGTGTTTACTTTGGTTACTATGATGCAATTGTTGTGATACTGTACATGACGTCCTCCACCCCCAACGTTTCCGCCGTCCTGGTTTGGGGGTGTGACAGATTGGTATCAGAGCTATTGTTTATAGTGAACTAAGTATATCAAACCTTACATGGTATACAACTATAAACATTAAGGGGCCGAAACACTCTGAACTGTAAGTATACTTTTAAATATCTAAGTATTTTATAAGAAGTATACAAGAATACATACATACAAGAAACAGTATCACAAGAAGAACAAAGCAAAAGTATTTAGATGTTGGACACTGCTGTTAAACCTAGACAGTTATGTAATCATATCTGGGATAAATATAGCCTGATCAACTATATTTATTTGAGATACGACCAACATGTGTTTGGGAGTGATGGTGGTGTTGCAGCAAGTCTAAAACTTACCAAACTTTATACAAAAAGGGAACAATAGAACAGAACACACAGCCTAAAAATACTATAGGAGTATTTTATCTAGAGCCAAACACATTGTAGATATTTCATTCCAAGTGTTCTATTTATTTTCTAGAGATTGTTTACTTGTATTAGTAGACTTCCTCTGTAAATCGCTTAATAGAACACTTTATCTATCAGGTTGAGATATATCTTGTTCAATATCACCTGACTCAGAACCATCATAGAGGACTTACCATCCTTTTCTCCTTAATTATTTTAGAGAAAGATGCCTCCGAAGAAGAGACCCAACAGAAAGAACAACAACCCTCCGAAAAATCCGCCGTCGCCACCTCCTCAGTACGATCTTGTTGTGTTCTAGGCAGCAGTGACAGCCGCCGTGGCTGCCGCCATATCCCATATTAATTCTAGTGGCACTAGCGGGGCGGGTAGTGGAGCCAACCCATCAAACCTCAGTGACAGTCATGGACACATGAAGGAGTGTTCGTACAAGGACTTCCCAAACGCCAAACCTCGGTCTTTTGATGGCACTGGAGGTGTCATTGCTCTAACCCGTTGGTTCGAAAAGACTGAATCAATTTTCGAGATATGTTCATTCCCCAAGACCAGCAAGGTGAAGTTTGTAGTGTGCACGTTCACTGACAGAGCACTAACTTGGTGGAACAGACAAGTCAAATCCCTGACTCTTCCAATGGCTAATGCTATGAGTTGGGAGGATTTGAAGGAGTTAATGTTGGCCGAATACTGCCCGCGTGGCGAGATGCAGAAACTGGAGCAAGAGCTCTGGAATCTGAAGATGAAGGGTTCCGACGTTGCTACTTACACTGCTAGGTTCAGTGATATGGCTCTTCTGTGCCCCGGGTTGGTCACCCCGGAGAGCAAGAAAGTTGAGAGATATATATGGGGATTGACACCCCCAACTCAGGGGAATGTCTTAGCTGCTAAACCCCTCACATTTGACAGTGCCAAGCGTCTGGCACATGCCTTAGTGGATCACGGGGATAGCCACAATCCCATGGCAGCCGCTCCAGAACCACAGAAAGAAGGCAGTGGGAAGAAA